TTTTAAGAAATATCTTTCCATTTCTTCCTTCCACCTCTCAGGAAAGTGATTAAGCAGTTTTGATGCATTCCCATTTACTGAAGGATGGTTTAATTAGCTGATTATATGTCAACTTTTCTAAACACAATGAAAAACATTTATTTCCATAATGTATCCATTACCCTTAGGATAGTGTGTTAAACTCTCTGTGCATCCAAGAAAGTTTCAATCATAAGAGCATGATAGAGCACAAATAATTTCCTCAGCAACTGCTCATGGTGTTTCTCACTTTTTTTGTTGTACACAAGGTATATGGCAATAGGAAATAGAATACACAGTTCTTCAGTAATCAGAATATGGTGACTAGCAAGTAGTTCTATTAAGAACATCTTTAGGTATCAGTTAATTTAAGGGATTTTTAGGACCAATACAAAATATTTAGAAACAAATAAATATACTTTATTTCTGCAATTTCTGCCTGCACAATCCAAAACATTCAGAAACAAGTACTAGATTTTCTAAGGCTCAGGGTGCAGCAGATCTGTAGCTTGCAGTCTTTTTGGCTTTATGAAGTATATAGCCAATACATGTTTAAATTAATTTTAATGGTGATAATCTTTTTCAGCACTCCTAATGAAAAGCTGCTGGGACGCCTGGTAAAGGAAAAGGTAACAATGACTTTAGAATGAATAAATTTGTTGTTACATCTCAAACCTGATGCCATGGAGTCATTGGGTTGGTATAAATGCCTGCATGTAAAACAGCTTTTTACACACTGATGGACAGCAGAGTGTCTCAGAACATGCAGACGTTGTGAAGCGTTTCTGATTACCATTTTTAATTATCTGACTGCATCCCCATTTTGGTGCTGTGTGTTTAATCTACTCTCACTTTTATCTTAATCACTGTTAAACTGTTTCACACCATTTTCAGTCTTTTATATTTATTTCTATCATGTTGTACTGAGTACACCAAACAGGATAGTCTGTTCCAAAACCTGTTCTTATAATTGAAAAAAAAACCCAAATCAGATTCTGACTAAATCTATAGGAAAAGATGAGATCTTTGGGGAAAAAAGAGTACCTGTTGCTACAGCAACACATTTTATTGCTAAACATTTGTAAGTTTACACTAGAAGTAGTATTGGAAAATTGAGACATAATACACCACTTTTATTGATAACTTATTTTTTAAGACAATATTGTAGGAAGTTATTGGGAGATTTGTTTGAATTTTGTTTCAAAGATTCACTGGTTTTGTCTTCTTCTTGTAATTTGTTCTTTATGTAATTTTCTTTTGTTCTAACTGCTTTAAATTACCTTCTTTCAGTACGACACAGACTTCTACATTCTGGACAAATACCCTCTTGCTGTGAGGCCTTTTTATACAATGCCAGATCCAGCCAACCCTGTAAGTAAAATTCCTTGTTGCTTCAATGTGTTTCTCTTTTTTTCAGTTTAAATTATGCTGTGTAAGGATAACTTGACAATATAGATAAAGTACATTTATAGGACCACAGAATCATTGAACAGTTTGGTTTGGAAGGGACCTTAAAGATCAGCTAGTTCCAGCCCCCCTGGGATCTGCTGTTACAATTAACATTCTGATAACAAGAGCAGGTCAGTGTTACACAACTTGGGAAATGTTTCCAGTTGCTGGTGAAAACATTCTAGAGAGATTGGGAGAGCTTTATGAAGAGATCTCCATGGTCAAACACTGCTGCCATCACTGAAAAGTGGCAAAAACATTCTTCCAGGGCAGCAGACATAACATAAAAGATGGCTTTTTACATTTCCACAGTTTATTCCTAAATCCAGGACAGATATGTTCAGAGCATCTTTTGCTGGGATAACTACATGCAAGTGTAATGGCTTGTCAAAGGGTGTGTGGATGAACTTCAGTTTATTAAATCAGCTCCAGTCTGTTGAGAAGGAGCCCAAGGACTGTAATTTGTGGGCAAGCTCCTAATATATTGTACTCTTACTGCACAACTTTGAATATCACAAGTGAAGTTACTGAGAGGTGCATATTTGCAACCTATGGAGTCACTGTGGGTAGGAAATAAACTCATCTTTGTTTTTCCAGAAAACCTCTAACTCTTATGATATGTTCATGAGAGGGGAGGAGATCCTGTCTGGAGCTCAGAGAATTCATGACCCTCAGCTGCTGACAGAGAGAGCCAAACATCATGGCATTGGTAACAAATCCATTTAAGAGAGTATAAGTCATGATTGAATTTGTGTCCTTTAGAGGAAGAATTTGGGACAGAATTTCTTATATGGCCGTAGTGGTAAACTCACAGTACTGTTTCATTCGTAATGTTAACCCATCTAATTCTGTTCAACCATCTAGAGTGGTGATATTAAGAAATTAGTTTGTTTCCCTGCAACTCCTTGTTGAAGAGTTATAAACAATTGTAAAACAAATCCTTTGCAGTCGTAATTTCTAGATAGTGCTGGATAATTTATACATTCAAGGAGTAAAACCCCACTGTTAGCTTGTAAATTTTTTTGTGTGTTTGCAGTCCTGTAATCACTTGTATGTCTGGCTTGGGGATCATTCAGCAGGTGAAAAACAGATGTTTTTCCTTTCTAGATTTGGAGAAGATAAAGGCTTACATTGATGCCTTTCGGTTTGGTGCCCCTCCACACGCAGGGGGTGGAATAGGTGAGTGTCTGTATTTTATTTTCTTCTGTGTTAGCTTAACCTACACTGCTCAGTCTCAAACAGAGTTCAATATAAAATTCATAACAGCAGCCTTGTTAGGTGAATTTGTGGGGCTGTTCATCCTGGAGAATTTAAGGAGAGAAGCTAAAATACAAGGATCATCATAAAACAAAGAGGCAAAATATTAATGGCACAATCTGGCAATTAAAAAGTAAGTGATCACAAGAAAAAGTGCCAGTTCATTAGCCAGGCACATCACTTTCAAATGTGACCCAAGAGGAAAATTGAAGGAAGCAAGAATGTACTGTATTCTGTATGGATTTATCAGAGCCCCCACCGTACCGGCGGCCACAGGTCTCTGCATTTGGTGGAGCTGTTCTGCAGTGAGGGGAAATAAGTGGTTACTTCTGCCTTATCAGTGATTTGACAGTGTCACTGATCAGCTTGATGCTTGTTGTTTCAGCAAAGGTACTGAGAGGCTTCATGTCATGGGGTGTGTTTTATAGATAAAAATGAAAAGAAGATAGGTTTTAGGCATCTTAATGACAACAACTGACAGTTTGGCACGTTGCTTTCATAGGCAGGATGAAATCTATTCCTGTATGTGGAAACAGGACATTTCGTAGGTCCTGATCAATAGAACCAGAATTTCTTTGATTCAGTCTTTCTGCACTTGCCTTCTGACATACCTACAAGGTGTGAGTGTCGGTGGTCATGCAGTCCTTGTGAGCAGAGGAGATGCAGCATTTGCTGATGATCCAAAATGATTTAGGGCAGTCAGAACTGACAGCAGGGAAGCTGAAGGTACATCTTTTCTGCAGACTAAGTGCTCCATATGGCATGTCCCAGAGGTCAGGCCAAGTACCAGCCAAACAGGAGATGCTGTGGGAATTAACACTGGGTTCAGGCTGTTCCAGGTGGAAATCTTAATATAGGAAGGCAGTGTGTGGAAAAAGTAGGGTGCACCTGGATTTCACCTCAGCATGGCTGGGGTGCTTATACAGCCTCATGGATTAGGAAGTGCTTCTGCGTTCCTCAGGACACACATAACCTCTGATATTTCAGGAAGAAAGAACACAACAACCAGTGAAATACTTACTATCATGAAGATATCATCAGAAAATAGTTACACAAATGAATGGTGTGAATCTACTTTTTTGTACTGCAGAGGATTTGGGATGAAATTACCCAGGTGTAGGTTTTTGCTGTTGCTGCTTATGGCACTTGGTGTCTCTTGCTCTGAAGCTGTTAAGACTGGTTTGGGCTTTATTTGTGTTACTGTATCCGAGGTACAGTTCTCCTGATTACCCACCTCTGCTCTCAATTTTCTATACCTTCCTTGAAGTCCTGAAGTGATTCAGAGCAGGCTTGATTCTCCAGTGCCATTGCTTGTCAATACCTGTTCCAAATGATGTGTGTGCCATGGCAGAAGGCACTGATGTAAAATCCCTAATTTTTGGTTTAGCTCCTTCCCGCAGGCACACACGCTGATGTGAACACCTCAGCCTCCAGTGGGTTTGGCTGGCAGTGGGTGGGAAGTACCTGTAGCTTCTTAAGAGTTTTGAACAACAGACTGACAGCACTGCTGGGTTGTTTTCATCTGTTTTAGGGCTGGAAAGAGTGACCATGTTGTACCTGGGACTGCACAATGTCCGTCAGACCTCCATGTTCCCACGGGATCCCAAGCGACTGACGCCCTGACAGGAGCTGCTGCTGAAAGTTGGAGAAGATTTGCCCTGCAGACAGATATGATTGCAAGCATATCCCCTGCTCCTCGTGAACCTGTATTGATTTGAGCATTATGATATGCAATTAAAAACAAATCCTCCTTTATGAAGTGCCACATTTTTTTTTATCCGTAGTTGTTTATTTAAAGAAAATATTTTAACAGATCAGGACTCTTTGTATTGGCAACTGTGCACGTTTTTAATGAAAATGTGATACTTGGAGTTAGTATTCTGGTGTCACATTAAATTGTATCATTTTTCTAAACATTTTAATAAATTATGCAATAACCATTTTGCATTTTTAACTTATGTCAGCAAGATTGAATATTCTGAAGTATGGGCTCAAAGATAAAATTTAAAAATCAGGAGGAGACCAGCCAACTGTTAACTTACAGGAGTGTCAGGTAGGAAGCAGGTGAGAAGAACATTCTTAACAAGAAACCTTTGTTTGAAATTGTGAAAATAGGTTGAAATAAATCTCTCAAAGTAAATTAGATGCAAATCTGTCTTTCTGTTTTTTGCTTTGTATTCTCTCAAGATAATAATGAATCAATAAGGTTTGTTTGGGTTTTTTTTAATTATGTAATAACTCTAAAGTTTAAATTTATTTTCATTGTATCTTCTTCCCCCCCTTTTTTTTTTTGAAAGTTGTATACAAGCTGAAGACTTTTTCTGTATTTTATTTTACTATTTGAGAATGGATAGAAGTTTATACATGCTCCCAGAATACACAAGGGATATATAATATTCTCAGAAAATTAATGGACAATGAATTTGAGAGCAGGTCATGTGTTTTCCTGCCTGATCCAGCCTCTGGAATAACAAACAAAACAAATCACCAAGGACTCCATGCATCTTATTACCAAGGAAAAAAAGAAGGAAATTATGTAAGCCAGCCTATATCAGGTTTGTTGTGGTTTTTTTATTTTAGTTGGGTCCCCAACCCAACTGTTGTACATTAAGAGAAATTGGGTGTTTCTCTAAGAGTACTTCTGAAATTCTTTCTAGACATCCTTTTTCTCAAATGAATGACTTACTTGAACCTCCTCAATTTGCAGTGATGCACAAAGCTACTTCTCCTCGTCCTCCTCCTCCCAGCCCAGAGGATGTGCCCTGCATATGGAGAGGAACTAGAGCCTTGGAAACTTCCTTGTGTGGGCTGCAGCTGAGAGTTGTTTTTCAAATTTAAAACATTTTTGTAAGTGTGGATGCCAAAGAGCAAAGGATTAAATTCCTTACTTGGGCACTGCAGTAGAGTTATCTAATATTCATACATATTTGTAGTTCCTGACTTAATTTTTGTTTAACATTTTCCATGATAAAGCTTTCAGTAGGAGGTACGGTTCAGACTGTCTGTGGTGTTGTTGCTACCTTGATTTTTAAATGTCAGAGAAGTCACATATTGGCTGTGCTACAGAAAGGTCAGTCAGGCTGTGTATAAATTGTGTAGATTTTCACAAAAGGGCAAACCATCTTTTGCACCTGCCATTGAACAAGACTTAATTTTAATGTCTTGTGACAAGAGTTCTCCATTAGAAAACAATCAGACTAAAGGTCAGTCAGGTAAAGTACTGGAAATGTGGAAGTTAAACTTTGTTTAGAAGTCACACAATTCAAGGAATAACACTTTGCAGCTTTGCTTATGAGTCTGTTGTAATTAATTTACTGTGGAATCTTCCCCAGTTATTAACTTGAAAATCTTACAGTGTACCCAGTTGTACTTTGCAAAGCTGAGTGGATTATAAACACAGCTCATCATCACAGACTTATTACTGATGAATCCAAGTTTCAAAACAGTTGTTTATTCAGCTAAGCCAACTGGAATGAATTTAATTTAATTACTTTTGTTCATACAGAACTGGTAATATATTCCACTTCAGAAGCTCATCCTTCTAATCAGGAGCAAAATTACTGACTTAAATTGCCTGCCAACAAAAAAAGTATTCTGAGGACTGTTTTTTGCTCTAGATTTGGCAGCAAGTTTTGTTCATACATTGCTGTAACTACTGTACTCATCCCAATTCTGTTAAGAGTTATTCAGGCTCCTGCTGTAGTTTGATTTATTCACAGGAGCTGCACAAGAACAAGGGTTGGGATGGAGGCCCCAATTCCTTTGTATGCAGAATCTTTTCATACAGTCTCTCTTAGCTAACAGAAAATAATTGTGATCATAAATCAAAGCGCATTTGTCCCGAATGTCGTGTTAACAGGATACTTTAGTGGGAGCTGCACTCCCACTTTAGTGGGAGTCTTAGAACTTTGTTTGAAACCTTGCAAATTGAAATTTCAGAACTTTATATTGCTTTGATAGGTAGCAACTCTGAAAAAAGTAAAACCTGTATTGTCCTTTATTTCCAATAATTTGCAGGAAGTTCAGCAGTTTATGTGGAGTCCCCATGGCTGCTGCCTCTCCACCAGGTAAAATGGGCTTTGGTTATATTTTCTTTGAGGATATACGGAAGGTCATTACAACAGTGCATTTTTTAAACTAAGGAACTATAAAGAACTTTGGTAAGGAGTAGCCAGGGAGTAATCTGCTCAAAACAAACACAAAGCTTCAGTTTGCCTCAGAAGTTTTTAACTACACCATTTTCCTGTGAAAATCCATCTGTGTTCGCTGAGCTGTCTAAATCTGCCCAGCAGGAAAGGGGGCTCAGGCTGTTCTTTTGGCAGCCGAGTGCAGGACTGGCTCCCCATGGCTGCCCACACCTGCTAGGATAACCCTGGTGGGCACCACACAGCTGCCTGCTCCTGCCCAGTGGGACAGGGGGAGAGGAAAAGCAGGAAAACTTTGTGCTTCCACCCTGTGCCTGTCAGTAACAGGTGTATTGGGCACCACTCCATGTGAAAACAAACTGTGGCCTGCACTCTGCTGCCAAAGGGATGGAGGAGAACACATTGACAGTGTCCACTGGGGAACCACATGGCTGCCTGGGACTCCAGTTCATACTGGGCTTCCAGCATATCCCATATGGTGGAATGATTTTGCCTAGGCCACAGGAGTGCACAGTCCCCCTCCATCCCATACACCATGCATGTTCCTCCTGGACAAAGAGAGCCTGGAAAAATGAGACTGTGGAAAAACAGGGTATTTTCTGGACAGCCACCTCTAGAGTATACAACTTGTCCAAGCATATTTTAATTATGTACTGTTTCTTCTTTGAATATTGTACTTATCCACATATGAAGGCTGTAGATTTTATTATTTTGGTAGAGGAAAAGTGATGAAAAAAAACAGTAGAAATTACCTGAGATTAATTATTCTTTTAAAATAAGCCTCACAATTTGTGCACATTGGTACGATTTCATAAAACATGGCATTTATTCACTGCAAGTGTTTTTAAAGTTACCAAGTTAATTCTACTAGTTTCTTATTTTCTTTACCATTTTGCAGTTCAGTCTCTGCTCCCTGTATGGCAAGTGCACTGTAACACGAACTAACAGTGCTGCAGGAGGCTGGTGCTGCTGGCACTTCTTAAAGGCCTTCAGAACTGAAAAGGAGCCCTTAGCTGCCTTAATTACAGCAAAATTCCCACTTTAGGCAGAGATTAATGACTTTGCAGGTGGCAGAGCAATTCTAAGCAATTTTTCATGGATGTTGAAGCGGTTCCTGCTGGCAGGCACCGTGTGCCAGCAGCTGCCATTCGGGAATGGCTGTCAGCCATGGCACCGCTTGGCACATGTTACCTTCGACCATCCTGTGTTGCCAACAAGGAGCCAAGTGTCCAGACTGCAGCCTGACGCTCACCTGGCTTAATTTACACCCTTTTCGCCTGGGGTCAGTCCTTCAGCAGCTGGAGCTGCAGCCTCCGGAGTGTCTGGTCAGTGAGCAGCTGCCCCAGTGCTTCCTGCACACACTGGGAGGATTCCCTGGATCTGAGCTTCCTCAGCAGTGGAGGAAACTACCAGAGGAGTTTTAACTCCATTTGCTGTAGCTGATTTCTTCTCTGGGAAACCAGTGCCCTGTGGAAGCTTCACAGCAGCTGAAGACCTTGCTGAGGCCGCCCAGAGCTGACACCTCCATACCTGTGGTTCTGGAGCCCCCAGCGTAAGAAGGATGTGGAACTGCTGAAGCAAGTCCAGAGGAGGGCCATGAAGTCGGTAAGAGTACTGGAGCACCTCCCTTACAGAGACAGGCTGAGAGAGTTGGTGCTGTGCAGCCTGGGGAAGGGAAGATTGTGTGGAGACCTCACAGCACGTTCCAGTATTTGAAGGGGGCCTAGTGAGAGGACAAGGAGTAATGGATATGAACTGAAAGAAGGGAAAATTTAGGTTAGCTATTAAGAAGAAATTCTTTACTGTGAGGGTGGTGAGGCACTGGCATAGGTTACCGAGGGAGGTTGTGGTATCAAAGCCAGGCTGGATAAGGTTTGAGTAACCTGGTCTAGTGGGAGGTGTCCCTGCCCAGGGCAGGGAGGGTTGTGTCGAAATGGGCTTTAAGGTCCATTCCAACCCCCTAACGCTCTATGGCTGTGTGTTTCTATGGGACGCGTTCCTCTGGCACAGCCCTAAGCCCTGGGCAGCCCCCGTTCTGTGTGCCAGCCCAGCAGCGGGCGGGGATCGAGTCGCTGTGCCCGGAGCTCCCGGGCCGCCTCCTCGCGGTCCCGCTCTGGGCCTTTGGCGCGAAAACGGCCGCGGGGGGCGGGGCTCTGACGGACGGCGGCCGCCGATTGGGCGGCGCGGCGGGCGCGCGGCCCACGTGGTGCGCGGCGTGGCGGGAACCGGGTCGGGGCCGGGCCGGGCTGGGACAGTGTCGGTGTCGGCGGCAGGGATGGATCTGGCAGTGGCGGCGGCCGGCGCCGGGGGAGCGGCGCAGCAGCACCAGCAGCTCCGCGATGAGGTTGCCGAGAAGTGCCAGAAGTTATTCCTGGACTTCCTAGAGGAGTGAGTGCCGGGGGCCGGGCCTGGGGCGGGCGGGCAGGGCGAGTGGCGGGCCGCAGGCGCCTCACGGAGGGGCCGCCATTTAGTGAGATCCTGCCGGGGCCTGGCGCCCCCGCCCCTCGGCCTTCGATTGGAAAAGCTCTCCTGTGGTCTGAGGAACGGCTCTGCCGGGAGGAGTCTGCTTTGCCGGGGTACAGGAAGGGAGCCGCGAGAGCTCTCTGAGAAGTATTTTGCACCAGGTCTAGTGGAAGGTGTCCCTGCCTATGGCAGGGGGTTGGAACGAGGTGGTCTTTGAGGTCCCTTCCAACCAAAACCATTCTCTGATTCTATGATTTCTTTGGTGCATTTGGTCCCTTTTAACAAAGTTTTGTGGCAGCCGTGTTGAAAACCCTTTCCACGGCTTGGGTATTACACATCTTGCTCCCTGCGTTTTGACTCCTGAGGGGCCTGTCCGTGTCAAATAAGGAAACCATTATAATCACCCTGAGGAAACAAAACCCTGTTTATTGGTGCAGAGTCATTGTTAAATATAAAATAAAACTCAGTGTGGCACTCGGGACAACACTCGTGCTGCTTGAAATTCAAACCCGGTTCGTCTGTGCTGGGATGTTGATAGAACAGATGCAGAAGGGGGTGGAAGAAGAAATGTTGTTGGAAAGGGCTTTGCAAGGGACTGTGGGATGCCTTAATGTGAGCCATCCTTTCCTTTACCTGTCTCCTGAATTCAAAGTGTTCAGTTGCTGCCTGGTGCACGACTGTGAGACTGTTTTCCTGAATCCCTTTCAGGTTCCAGAACAGCGATGGGGAGGTGAAGTACCTGCGTGATGCTGAAGAGCTGATCCGGCCAGAGCGGAACACGCTGATCGTCAGCTTTGCAGATTTGGAGCAGTTCAACCAGCAGCTGTCCACCACTATCCAGGAGGAATTTTACAGGTAAAGTGTAGAGGTCCTTTTTCAGGTAAAGCTGAACCCTGCTGCAGTCTCAGGCTCGTAATGCCTCGCTTGTTATGTAAAAAATGAGAGGTTTGTCTTCTTTCTGCATCCTGAGAACACTTTTTTTTAACTGGCTCAAAACATTTCTCAGTGAATTCCTCTCTGGAAACCATGAGCTAACTAGGAAATGACATTTATTCTGGTGAAGAAGTAGATAGGCATACAGAATAAACTCCAAAATTTCATGCTCTGAAAATATTTTATTGAGCCAGTTACTTATTTTGAAGATCCGCTTCTTAATGTAAGGATAAAAGTGTCATAAAATGAGATTTTAAAAAGTCCATTATGAAGCCATAATGCAAATGACATTATTATGCAGTAATCCCACATTTAGCATATTTAGATTCACTTTTTTTGTGTTACATGACATTAAAAACCAGAACCTGGTAATCTGATACAAACCTTTGCTGTAGTCTAAAGCAGAGAAGGTGTTTTAATAGCTTTTGTAAAATTTGAACTGCTTTTCCGTATTTCAGGGTTTATCCTTACCTCTGTCGAGCAACAAAGACTTTTGCCAGAGACCATGGAAATGTTCCTTCAAACAAGGACTTTTATGTTGCATTCCAAGACCTGCCTACCCGACACAAGTAAGATGATTAATATTTGCAGAAACTTGTGCATTTTTACTAGTGAGGAAAAACGTGTCAAAGCACACTGAAAATGTTTTGGTTATATAGCATAAAATGAGCAGCTGATCAGAACAGTTGTGAAGAAGTTTCCTGACCTTGTGCGGGATATATTTTGAAAGAGTTTTTCATTTGTGAATAACAATCAGATACTTATATTCATTATATTCCACAAATGTGAAGCTTCTCTAATTTAAATAATGTAACTTCTCTAATTTAAAAAAAATTATTTAGTGTGTGTTGCTTTTGAAGTACCAATAGTTTTGCATTGGTTTGACCATTAGCATTAATCTAAAAGTTTATGTAAAATCATAAAACGAGAATATATTTTAATAACTTTGTTTCCTTTGTCTGTTACAGCACTTCTTTAGTCGCAGGCTGAATGAAACTATGTTGTATCTTACTATCTTGGGGCCTAGAATTGTCAGCTCAGTAATTTAATCCCTGGGAGTTTCTGTTTTGCCCAGAATTCGGGAGATGACCTCGGCAAAGATCGGCTCCCTGATGCGCATCAGTGGGCAGGTGGTTCGGACCCACCCGGTGCACCCGGAGCTGGTGAGTGGGACCTTCCTGTGCCTCGACTGCCAGACAGTCATCAAAGATGTGGAACAGCAGTTCAAATACACACAGCCCAGCATCTGCAGGAACCCAGTCTGTGCCAACAGAAGGAGGTTCCTGCTGGACACGAACAAATCAAGATTTGTTGATTTCCAAAAGGTACGAGGGTGAGGTTGGGGGTGATGACTAACGATGGTGTACCTGTGGTAATTGGAAGGTGTTGTTTGTTCTGCTACAGTTAGCTTTGGTTTTGTGAGGAAAAGACCTCAAGAAAAGGCACTGGATTTTCTGGGGAAAGTTTCTTTCTGTCTATGGAAGGCTTATGTTTAAGCATGGGAAATTATTTATAGTATCAGACCAATTTTGTTGTGTGACATTTATTGTCTAAGTGAATCACTGAAACCCCACATACTCAAGCCATCATTAGTCTCATGCTGCTGGTACATCAGTGTAGTTGTTCTATATCAGTATAAAAAGAGGTACCTTCTAGTATCTGCAATGTTTTTTCTTCCACATTGATTTACTCTCCTGAATCCTCCGCACTTCGTGGCCTGCAGCAATATTTTATGCCAGCTATGTTATCTGAAGTTTTCAAGCTGGTTTTCAGAACTGTCACTGTGGCCCCTGTACATCCTCTTAAGTGTCTCCAAGACTCCTTAGACGCTGATTAGTGAAGAGATTTTTGGTTGTTTGTCTTACTGCAAGGGGAACTTCACGGTTGGCACGGATGGCAGCAGTCGGATGCTACTGACTATTTATTAGCACAGCTTTTGGAGCAGTTTGAGCTCTGGTGACATTTGCTGAGTGTTTATCCCCCCTCCGTGCCCAGGTCCGCATCCAGGAGACGCAGGGGGAGCTGCCGCGGGGCAGCATTCCCCGGAGCGTGGAGGTGATCCTGCGCGCGGAGGCCGTGGAGTCGGCCCAGGCAGGTGACAAGTGTGACTTCACCGGCTCACTCATCGTCGTGCCTGATGTGTCCCAGCTCTCCACACCAGGTTTGTTGCTCCTGCTCACGACCTCAGCGAGGTGTCCTTCACACTTGTCCCGGTCCCTGCTGCCCTGACTCCCGCTCTCCCGGCAGGGCTGCGCGCGGAAACCGGCTCCCGGCTGACGGGGACAGAGGGATATGAAACCGAAGGCGTCCGAGGGCTGCGCGCCCTGGGAGTCCGGGAGCTCTCCTATAAACTGGTCTTTCTGGCTTGTTATGTTGCACCAACAAATCCACGGGTGAGTCTGGAAAGAGAAGAGATTTAAAGGTGTTCCTGATTTCTGCTCTCTGTGGTTTTCCCTCAAATTAGGGAGCGGGAATGGGTAAAGTTATAAATATGTACGTGTACCACCTTGCTGTGTGCATTTGACTGTCTGTAAGTTCTGATTGAATTTGTATAGCAAGGTTCTTGTCTTCAGATGAGATTATTTGCCAGTGTTATGTGTTTATTCTAAAGAGTTGACTGGTCCATCTATTTCCATTCAACTTTCAGCCATTTCTGCAGCATTTGCTTTTCTTCCAGGAAATCCTATTTCTTCTTATTCCCTTTGGTTTATCACATAGCATCTTGGGATGTTACTGCAACATAAGTAATACTGAGTATGTCTGGGTTGTGGCGTGTTGAGGTATTGTAATCTGTCACTCTGCTAGGAGCTTCACTGTCACACAGGATAAAAATACCATCTATTATTTTCTGGGAGTAGAAGTTTCTGACCCCACTTCAGAGTAACAAAAGACCTTGTTAGGTTCCAGTTAATGAAGAATGCTTACAAAGGCAAATTTACCCAAAGGAAACCATACTGGTTTACTCTTCTTTTAATCTCTGTATAAGCATCTCACCTGGGGTTTTTCTTACTAACTGAAGTTACACCATTGATTTTGCCTGTTAGGAAATTGTCTATTGGATTTTAAAGGTATAAGATGATGAGCTTCCTTAGCCTAAGGGCAGCTTTTCTGAACATGTTCCTCCCATCCTACTTACAGTGAGTTTTTGTAACCTGTCTGCAGTGCTCATATTCATTAGTGACCATGTTATTCCTTCTGTTACTGTTTTATTTCCTTTGTTTAGTTCGGTGGAAAAGAGCTCAGAGATGAAGAACAGACTGCAGAGAGCATTAAAAACCAGATGTCTGTGAAAGAGTGGGAGAAGGTTTTTGAGATGAGCCAAGATAAGAACCTTTACCATAATCTGTGCACCAGCCTCTTCCCCACTATCCATGGTAAGAACCCAGTTGAAGATTTCCCTTGTGTAAATATTAATTCCTTTTCCTCTCTGTGTGGTGCCATTTTGGGGAAGGTTGAAAGCCCTGTTCTAACTGGCACAAACTCTGCCCTCCAGCACTGGTTGTGCTGGAAGAAGAGAATCTATTTCCTGAGTACTTACTGTGTTTAATCATTAAGACCTGCAAGACTAGTGAAATGGGTTGGGTTTGCTATTGGGTGTTCTACTACAGAACCTTACAGCTGACAGTTGGATCTATTTTAAATAATTTTATTATTATTATTTTTAAATAGGAAGAATGTGGTGTTTTCCTTGGATTTTTAGTTGAGTGTCTTTTCTGTGGCAGGTAACGATGAAGTGAAACGTGGGGTCCTGCTGATGCTTTTTGGAGGAGTTCCTAAAACCACATCAGAAGGCACTTCGCTGCGTGGGGACATCAATGTTTGTGTTGTTGGTGATCCAAGTACAGCCAAGAGTCAATTTCTAAAGTAAGCATCTCATTAAAACTCAGTATTTAAGTATTGTCCAGTGTGACTGGAGCTACAAATGTGTGACAAACGTGTCCCATGCTTTTTTCTGTGTTAAACAGGAAAGGGAAGTAAAGTATTTAAAAATATTTTCCAGGGATTGTTTAAATGTGGTTGAAGTATTTGAACAGGGCTGGAGCAAACTCACCAAGCCCCTGTGGTATTAAAGAATGGATTGAGACTTTTTTGTTCTTTACTTACGAAAGTACAAATTTCCAAATATTTTCAAAAAGACATTGAATATTAAAAATACAAATTTATTGCACGTTTTAAAATGTCAGAGATAAGTGAAACACTGGGGGGGGGGTGTTATTCCTTCTTTCCACAGGCATGTGGATGAGTTCAGTCCCCGTGCCGTTTACACCAGTGGCAAAGCCTCCAGCGCCGCGGGTCTGACGGCGGCTGTTGTGAAGGATGAGGAGTCCCATGAGTTTGTCATCGAAGCTGGAGCCCTGATGCTGGCGGACAACGTGAGTTCCTGCATCCCTGGGATGCTTTTCATTAATGGCAAAGAGCCCCTGGTTGTGTTAATGGAGCTTTTTTTTTCCAAGAGTGATTGAATTTGGGTCACTTACTATTTTTCATTCCTGCCCTGCAGGGGGTTTGCTGCATTGATGAGTTCGACAAGATGGACGTGCGGGATCAGGTGGCCATCCATGAGGCAATGGAGCAGCAGACAATATCCATCACCAAAGCAGGAGTGAAGGTAGCTTGCACTAGTCCTCTGTGTAGTCTGTAGGATCACCTGACTGTTTGTTAGAGGTGCCGAACCTGTCAGATTTTGGTACCAGCTCTGCAACTGCCTCACTGTGGCAGCACAGAGATCACTTGCTGCAGAGTTCTTGTGCCACGTACCCAAAAAAGATCAGAAATGTTACTGAAAGGAAAAAAGGTAGTAGTGGACAGGAAACAGAAAATGGGAACATTCTTGAAGTAGCCCCAAAAACGTCGTAGATTTGTGTGTGTTTGTAGAAGTAAAGTGTGTGTTTGCACTGCTAAAAACAGGGTGTTGTGAAAAGAAGTTTTAAGGGCTTATTCTGGTATTGTTGGCAAGAGTGTGACAATGTTACAATACTGATTCTTCAAACTGTGTCTTGGGGCAGAGACCTGGTGAGAAAGGACTGGTTAAGAGTTTGGCTGCTTTTGAGGAGTGATTGTTATAATACCTCTATTGAAACTCCTAAACATCTAAAACATGTTATGCTGACCTATTTGGATTGCAATGAGTTAGTTTAGGAAGTGATCACAGATACCATTCTCTCTTCAATTTATTTTTCCCCATTTCCAGGCCACCCTGAATGCCAGGACTTCCATTCTGGCTGCAGCAAACCCGGTTGGTGGGCGCTACGACAGATCCAAGTCCCTGAAACAGAATATAAACCTCTCAGCTCCCATCATGTCTCGCTTTGATCTCTTCTTCATCCTCGTGGATGAATGTAATGAGGTAATTTTAAGGAATTGAAGATTAAATTGTGTCAGAAAAGATCTCTTGGAGGTCTCTGGTCTGACCTCGCGCTCCAGCAGATTATTGGGAACAGGTTGCCAAGACCTTGACCTGGTGAGTTTTGAGTATTTCCAGGGATGGAGATTCTGCAGCCTCTTTAGGCCCCTACTGCAGTGTTTGACAGTTCTCAAGTGTTCAAAAATAATAACTTTTATATCTAATCAGAACTTCTCATGGTTCAGTTTGTGTTGTTTGCCTCTTTTCTATGAGTTATTTGGCTCCATCACCTCTATACTGACTGGCCAATGAGGCAGTTGCTTTCTTTTCAAGCTGAACAGACCCAGCTCTTTCGGCCCCTCCCACATCACATACTCCTGCCCTCTGACCATCTTGGTGGCCCTCTGCAATTTTAGGTGAAGCAGATCTCATAAGAGCATCTTGCTTCTACTTCTCTGCTCTGCAGCTGAAAGCTGGCAGTACCAATGTGGACATGCTCTGCTGAACACAAGGACACTGCCTTTTCACCGTGTAGAGGTTTGACCTGCAAACTTACCACCATTAGTCATTTTTACAAATGGCTGGTCACTAAGACTGAGGCTGCTACCACCTGTCTTTGTGGCATTTGCCTTGGGAGCACAGGAGATCCAGAGATTAATGTTTGTTCAGTGCTGCTCTTGCCACTGCTCTGCTTGGAGTGATTATCTAATTGGGAAGGGACTGGTGAGAGAGACAGAGCAGGCTGAAAAGGAAGAAAGCAGTTCCCACGCTGCAAAGTGCTGCTTTCTGCCTGTTCTGTGCCTGACTTGTAACCCAGGAGAGTTCCAAGAGGCTATAAATCCTAAAACTGCCTTTTATCCCCGCTCTGCTGCGTTTCCTTGTATTAAAAAATGCCAGGACTTTCTCTTGGACCTTCTGGCAGACAGTTTGGCTTCTGGAAAGACTAGCTCTGCCATGAGGATTGCAAGTGAGGGAGGGGAGTGGGAAGGAAGACTCTAACTGTTGTTTTGCTGTTTGGCTGATGGTGTGAGAGTGATCTGACAGAGCCCCAATGTCCCAGGTTACGGATTACGCCATTGCCCGGCGCATCGTGGATCTGCATTCCAGAGTGGAAGAGTCCGTGGATCGTGTCTATTCCTTGGATGATATCAGAAGGTATCTGCTGTTTGCCAGGCAGTTCAAACCAAAGGTAATTCCACTTTTCCTGGGCAAGTTTTTCTGTCTGAGGAGGTCCCAAGGAACAGTCACTCTGCTGTGTGCTCATTTTCAGCAAACACAAAGACACTTAGTGTGGTGTTCTCTCAAAGAAATAGCTATAAACTCACTTATTACCTGGAAAAAGAGCATATTTTGGAGCCATGTACTCTTTTGAGCTCTGAAAATCATCCAGCTCAGCTGAGACTGTTGTAATCACTAGTCTTAACTGCTTTGGTGGCAGCTCCTAACCTTTGTCTAGAATGAGGGTCATTTTATAGCTTTCTCGTACCTCAAGGGCATGGGTTATTCAGCATGACTGAAGCAGAGATTTTTGTATTTTATTGACTTATTGCTTGATCAGCTTGTTTGCCTTTATTTTAAAAGGGTATTGTTCCTTGGTATTTCTTTGCTTGCTTTTTGGTAAAATACAGAACATGGGAAACTGCTCTAAGTACAGGTATTTTGGTAGTAGCAGCTTGGATGAGCTGAGTGTCAGATTTTTCAGAAGTCTGTAAACAGAGAACAATCTGGTATGGACAGACATGAACTATGCCCAGAAACAAGTCAGCAGAACAGAAAAATAGAAAATATCAACAAACCTGCTGCAAAATGATTAATGCAGCTATGTACTTATTGTAATATCATTACCATTGGTGAATATAATCATTATTACAGTATAATTTTAACATAATATGATTGTTGCATTTATGTACAGTATGTTTATAGCATAGAGTATTTCAGAGAAAAGCAGCAGCAAGTACAGGAAAGTCTGAGAATTGCCAATCTAATGCAAGAAGAGTAAACTTTTAATAACCTGAACATGCAAACTGTCATACTGCTTGATGTCCCAAAGATATCCAAGGAGTCTGAGGACTTCATAGTGGAGCAGTACAAGCGGCTGCGGCAGCGCGACGGCGCCGGGGTGACCAAGTCATCCTGGAGGATCACGGTGCGGCAGCTGGAGAGCATGATCCGGCTCTCCGAGGCCATGGCCCGCATGCACTGCTGTGACGAGGTACCAGGGCGGGGGGGGCTTGGTGTGAGTGTGTGGGAGCTCTGGCTTTGCCGTTTGACCCTGAGATTGGGTGAGGAGGAGAGCTTGGGTAATGTTTTCGCTTGTGGTCGCACTCAGTCTGAATCTGTGTGCCAGAAACACTGGGTTTAAGGTGTGTCTTTTAAAGCTGAGTTCAGCTGATTCAAACTGAGAACGTGCATGTTTTTGCATTACAGTTGTGTCAGCACTTTCAGCCTGTTATCTGTCAAATCGTGACAAAGGGGAAGAACTACCATCTACTACTATCAGTCATGACTGTTGGTAGTGTCTTTCCTGATCTTTCATAGTTTGTAATCTCTCAGCTCTCTTCCATCTGCAATCTAAAAAGACAAAGTTCATCAAAGTATCTGAACCTCCCCAAGAGTCCCATATATGTGATCTGAGCTCCTCCTCACATCAACCAGTGCTGCAATGCGTGATGTGTTCTGGCTGTTAACTGCAGCATGACTACTGCCCATCCTAGTCCCTGCTTTAAAACCCAGCAGGCCTTTTGAAATGTTGATTAGGGGTTATGTGACACATGCAGTGATGGAACCTTGCTCACTGGCTGTGTAAGAAGGACACCCATTGGGTTCTTTTAAATTAAATTCAGCTCATAAAGAAACAGATAGCTTTTAGCTTATGGCTCAGCTAGAGAGGATTTTTCCAGTTTTTGCTTTTAAGTTCTGGAGGAGAGTCTCATTAGGCCCATTTCTTTCATGTTTATTGCTCTACTGATCTGTCTTCTGACTGTTCTTGGCTTAAATAAATTTTTTATTGACTCCACATGATCACTAAATCCTGAAAGATTAATCGGGCAGCTTTTTACCTCCATAACCTTGAGTGACCTCAGTGTGCTTGTAGTGGGATACAATTTAACTTGCAGAGTCTTTACTGCTGAGAATTAATCAGGTGAGATGGGTAGAAAAGCCCTGTGTCAGAGTCAGAGATGAGTTTCTGGAGCTGTTGAGATACCAAAAGAGCCTGTTGAATACATGTTAACTTATTTAATACATATGTTTTCAAATCTTCCTCAGGTTCACCCAAAACATGTGAAGGAAGCTTTCAGGCTTTTAAATAAGTCCATCATTAGAGTTGAGACTCCCGATGTCAATTTAGACCAAGATGATGAGCAACAAGTGGAGGATCAAGAGGACCAAGATGGGGTCAATGGTAAATTACTTACAGGGAATTTTTTTCAAAGGGGAAAGTCCTTCCAGCCTTTACAGATTCCCTTTTTGAGCACACACTTCTCTTTCGTTTCTCACCTATTCCTCGTCTGATGAGGTCTAGAAATCTGGACTCCTGTTCTTAACTCTCTTGCTTCTTCAGCCTTCTTCACCACCTCACCTGGTTGGTCAGTGCAACATTTTTCAGTGGCTCAGAGTATTAAATAGGTAAAAAGATGTTTCAGCTTTAAACCTGGGCATGTGTCCAAACAGGTGAGGCAGAAGCTCCAGCTGGGGTCAATGGCCTTGTGAATGGGGTCAATGGCCATCCTGAGGATGGGAACAAGGATGCTGCACCCAAAGCTTCTCTTAGACTGGGCTTCTCCGAGTACAGACGGATTTCCAATCTCCTGGTGCTGCACCTCAGGAAAGCAGAGGAAGGTAAGGATTTGTTTATTGAAATGACAGCTGGCCCTGAGCTCAGGGAGTGATTGTTACTGTATCTCGTGCTGTTCCATGTGGGATTTTCACTCCTGTTGAGCCAACAACTGTGTCAGGTCTGGTGTGGACCTGTGCTCATGTGAGAGTACGACATCTGGTGATACAAATATGATTTCTTGGAGTTTTTACCTCTGTTATTTTAGTCATTTGTCAAAACCCATTAAGTTGAGAAGCATGTCAACAGAGCAGACCCAGAAAAGAACTTGCAGCTGAAGGCTGATGTGATTTAGAAGCCACTTGGGTGCATAGAACTGAAAGCTTCAATTCTCAGTCTAATTATGGCCTAGTAAACCATGACACGACAGCTTCCCATGCAAAACATGATGCTTTAAGGATCAGAATAAAGTCTGATGTTGCTTAAACATGTTAAAGCATATTTCTGTTAACATTTTAAATGTTAACATAAAAATCCTTTTCTTCTGTGGTTTAAATGGTATCTTACTGCTGCTGAGTTTATGCAAGTTGTTTTCTTTGCAGAAGAGGACGATTCATCATTAAAGAAAAGTGAACTTATTAATTGGTATCTAAAGGAAATTGAATCTGAAATTGATTCTGAAGAAGAACTAATAAATAAAAAGAAGATCATAGAGAGAGTCATTCATCGACTCACACATTATGTAAGTATAGACATGTGTGGGTAGTGAAAAGGGGTTTTAACTTACACTGGGCAATCTTTCATGTTCAATAGAATACATTCCTAATTGGAGAAACCTGTTTTGTGTTTCCATGTCACAGGCTGATGCAGTATAGATGCCTTCTTTGCTTAACAGCTGTTGCAATAATTCTAGAAAAAACACTGAAATAAACTAGAGATGTGTATAATTTAAAGTCCAAAGGGCCATATTACGTCCCTACAGAAGTGTGATATTTGTCTGTGTTTCTATAGTATTAGCTATGCATTAGGATACTGAAGTACAAGTAACACTTTATCAATGGATAGCCTTAAGTCACAGGGGTACTGAGGTATTTTGGAGGAAAACATATGAAAATATAAACTACTTTTCACGTTTAAAGGTGCAAACCCCCTAGACTGGAAAGCTCTAGGCTAAAAAGTTCCCAGAAAGCATACAACATGTGAGATTTCAACATAAAAGAAATTTCCACTGAATGTAATTGTTAAGGTCAAGAATCTGTTAGAGGGAGTTCACAATTAAAAGGGTTAAGTAGTTAATAAGAGGTGCTACCAGGATAAAAAAGAGGTGCCTTTCAAAAACTACAGACCAACCTCTCTGCCCTTGTTTTAATACAAATCTTTGTCTGTTGCAGGACCACATTCTGATAGAACTGTCCCAGTCTGGACTGAGAGGATCCAAAGAAGAGGAGACTTTTGATGAAGATCCATACCTGGTTGTCAACCCAAACTATCTGCTGGAAGACTGAGGGCTGGGAGCTGCATTGGAGAGCTGACTGGTTACAAGTTGGAAAATGCATTCTTTTCTTGCAGGGGTTACTGTACAGCAAACTCCTTAAATTCCCATGGATGTGCCAGTGTGTGGTCGGTAATATGGGATTGCTCATTCACACTGAGCATACCTGGAAAGTTTTTAAATTTATATATTAGTTTCATTATTAATTCTCAATTTTAGTGCCATCATCTGGATGAAGAAGAGAATCACCCAGTGGCTTTTTTTATCATCAAGCTATTTAGGTGCTTCTGTTTTAAATGAGAGGAATTTTGCATTTAGTAGATTTTCTTATGGTATATGTTTTTATTGTTTTTCTTATTCACATAAATAAAAGCTCATCCACTGGGAGTGGATTGCTGTTACTCACATGTGGGATTGCTGTTTTTCTATGCCTGTGCTTTGAGGCTGAACAAGTAGCGATCTAAATGTTTAATGTCTTAAGAAAGATTAAATTTCCTGGATGACAGATGCTGCTTTTTAAGAAGTTTTTTTTAACTTCCAGTAATGGATAGTGAGAAACTGATTGCTTCTCTTTCTTTTTAGATGGACTAAAGATGTGCATATGTAAAGTAGAAAATTGAAAATAGCCAAGCCCAATGCAAGGTTTTAAGTCAGGAGGGCAGAAACCCCCATCTTAAATGTCTTGACCTGTAAGTTGAAAACTGCCACCATTTGTGAGGGATTTTTAAGACTATATTTGTAAACCTGGTTTTAGGTGTTTTTATAAGAAAACTTCACTTAAATTTCTGCTGTTCTCGGTTTTTTAATGTAAGCTATGGGATTATTATAAAATCTATTAAGAATTAAAAATACCTGAATATTTGTCTTGTCAACTTGATACCAGCAGCTAAGAAAATTTGTAATAGCATGAAAGAAACTAAAGCTATATATTTTAATTAGAAATAGTGTGAAATAACTGTCTCTGAAGCAGATTTAGAAATGGAGGTGGTCTGTAAGGCAGTCATGTTTTTCCTTTTAGTCTCTCCCAACTCTGAGGAGATATGCCTTGGTCTAACTAAGCATGTCATTAAAGATAACAGTTGTATTTAAGGAATGGAGGGTATCATAAATATTTGTCACCACCAACAACACTGTCACATCACTGGGCCCTGACTCCAACTGCAGGAATTTCTCTCCACTGATTTCTTTCATAAACCACGTTTAGACAAATGCTACATTTCATTCAGCATTGCCACCCCCCTGCAACAACAGTTTCATGTTATTCTATATTGTTCCTTTACTTTCAAATTAAGGTCAGGAAGATGTCTGTCACTGTTATGTGTTTCCCTCTCCCCTCCTCTCAGCCTTTGTTTGCTAATAAATATTGTTCATGTAGGAGAAAGTATTTTTTCTGCTTCTCTTTCCCCAGTTCTGTAGCCTGGGAAGGGTGTTCTCTCTCTGAGTTCTGAGGAATAAGCACCAGGTGGTGCTGTAAAGTTGCTGTTCAAACTGGTTATTCAAACACTGAGGTGGAGGGAAGAAGGTTGGTGGCTCTTCAGAACAGTAAGCACGAGGTTACAGCTCTTCGGGGCTTCCTGGGGAAAAAATGATCTGGGAATCAAACAGAGTCAAAGTACAGAAATTACAATCCCTGTGTAAGACTGGCTATTTGAGTAACAGCAAATGTTGAGAGATATTTTATGTTATAACTTAAAGAAAAAATTGCTTGACACAGCAATAACTTGCCCAGGTATGTTTTAGAGAAAATGCTGATCGTTAAAGAAAAATAAGTCTCATGTGGATCTGACATTTCAATATAAATATGTAGAATTTTGTGGTTAGTTGATTTAGACATGTTCTGTATTTAGGCAGTAAATGTTCTGAGCTCTTCAGTATTTGAATGTAGCAAGGCTGAGTTACCTTTTCCCTGCAGCAGTTCAGGTGATCTGAGTGTGCCCACCCTGCTGGGAGAGCCTGTGTTTTTGGGGGTTAAGCAATAAAATGACATTCGAATTCCTGGATATTGTTGGGCCTGAGGAAGCACATTGTTATTGTTATAGCTACCTTAACTCTCACTAACAGCCACTTTTCCAATGGGGTGAGATACCATATCTCAGATTTCCTTTATGCACTCAAGAATTAAAGTACAAAAGTGCTTCCTGCTGTCCTGCACACCCTGAGCCTGCACACCCAGCCCCAGCAATGCAGGTAACTCTGCTTTGGTTGTTTTCTGCAGCCAGAGCTGTGCTGGGATTCCTCCTAAGCCAAAAAAAAGGCTAAAAGGAGAAGGAAAGTATTATCTACTTACTTTATCTTCCTCTGAAATGGAGGCAGTATCAGCAAAATGTCAGTTGATATTCAAGTCTAAGGGGGAACCTGAGCACCTCAGAAACTGTTTTCACGTGACCTTTCTCCAACTAATTGCTTGACAGATTTTTTTGTGTTCGTCCATTGGTCTGATTATCTATTGATTAAAAATCCTGGTCTGTTATAATTCCAATGTCAGCTAGTTCTGGGAACATTTATCAGTGTAACAGATAATTCTGGTTAAATATTACTTCTACTGTCTTATATGTAGTGTGGAATTGCCATTTGTGAAGCAGGCTCAGAAATGGAGCTGATTTGCACGACATTCATCTTCTTTCTGTTGGTCTCTCCCGGCCTTGGGATAGATGGAGAATTTGCTCGGAATTTTATCGCCATTGCTGGGCCTCTGCCCAGTGAGTTGGCAGATAAACTGGGTCTGAGGGACCAAGTGCTGCCCCAGGAGGAGCAGGGCCCTGCTGTGGCTGAAGCACATGGTTCCCTGTGCCAACAAGACCTCGTGGCTTCGGAGCTGCCCCGGTACTTCTCCCACCTTCAGGAGATCGGGGTGACGCACTACAAAGTGTTCCTGCCGTGGTCGCGCGTCCTTCCCGAGGGGAATGCCAGGGAGCCTGATGAAGCTCAGGTGCAGTGCTACAGGGAGTTGCTCCAGGCCCTGGTTGCTGCAGAGCTCAGCCCCGTGGTGGTCCTGCACCACCAGCGTGTCCCTGGCGCTGTGGCCGTGCGGGCCGGAGGGAGGGAAGCCGGTGCTTTTGCCAACCTTTTTGTGGAGTATGCAGAGTTCTGCCTCCGTGCTTTTGGGGACCTGGTGGATGTGTGGGTCACCTTCAGCGACCTGCAGGAGGTCCTGCACAGCCTGCCTTACCCTGACCCCCAGGACAGAGCCCAGGCCGTGGCTGCTGCCCACGAAGGGTTTTACACCATCTTCCATGAGAAACACTCGCCGGCCGGTAAGGAGAGGGGGGACAGGGCTATTTCCAATATGACTTACAAACATGTTGTGATGGGATTGAGTGGCAACTGCCACATGCAGTCTCTGTATTTTTGTGTACCTCTTCCTAACCCACAGAGGAAAGACCAAAAACTGCCTGAAATGTGCATGGAACCATGAAAAAACAAGACACAAGAAGTCTCTTATAAGATAACAATAGTGTGAGGAAGTCTGCAGTGTCCTTTGGTTGACTTTCCTCATTGCAGACACTGGGGTTTTACAGTAATTAAATCTAAAATCTACCTGTGTTACACAGAGCAACAGAATTTCACCTGTTCCATGGTGGGTACCTGGGATTTTCCAAGCAGCTGTTCCCTGGGGTCTGCCTTCTCTGGCCTTGGAATTTTTCTGTCTCAAACAGACAGCTGGTAGAGCTGACTGAGTCAACGTTTCTTTATCCACATTTTTAATGAATGAATTTATATTTAATTCTTGCATTTGTCAGGAATACTTTGCTGTACAGTTCACACTATCTGGTGATAGCCCTTAGAAGTTGCCCAGCTTCTCTCCTGTGTCTCCTGTGTCCCTCAAGTTCCTGTTCCCACAGCATCGCAGAGGCATTCAGCACAGAATGCATTTTAAAAAAATAACCACTATAGAACCACCACAAAGGCATGATAATTAAAGGTACTACTTATAATTATGCAGGGAGTGGAAGGGCACAATTTATTAACAAAGGCTTCTTGAATTCTGCCTTTGAGTTTCTACCTTCTGCAGCTCTCCATTGAAATCGCAGTGGGAATTCTGAAATCCCCTACCCAAGGCACTGTCTGCTGTTCCACAGCTTCAAAAATTTAACACTGATTTAAAAATAACTGCAGTAAACTGAAGGTTTTATTTGTCCTTAATATGTTACTAACAGACTGTCTCGTTTTTCTTTCCAGGTGGAAAACTGTCCATTGCTTTAGAAACAGGTGGTGTTTTGGACAGTGCTTCTTCAGAACTGCTTTCAGTTTCTCTTCAGGTAACTTACAAAATTATATACATTTGACTTGATTTAACTTGATTTTCGTGTATGGGATCAAGTGACTTTTTGCAAGTTTGTAGATTTTTTTAAAGATTTTTAAGATTTTTTAAATTTTAGGGGTTTTTTAAAGATTTTAGCAAGCTGACCAATTGACCAGTTTGGTAAGTTTAACTTATTTCATTAGTCTAATTACATGAAGCTAGCTAATTTAACAAAATTCCTTCAGCATCTTTTCTTGGCTAGTAAGCACTGATTAAGATAGGTGGAGACATATTTGCTCTCATAATTGGCAATTTTAGCAATGTACTTGCCTAAATGACAAGATGTCTCCAAAGAGTATACCCGTTATCATTTGCTTTGCACCTACTTAAGGCACACCAAAGATGTGAATACTTCATTTTAAATAACTGCTATTTAAAAAAATCTGCTGATTATGTTAAAACACAGCCTGAGCTGTGCTAGCAGTGATGTAGTTGCACAGGGAAAGCACAACATGAGGAGAAATTAGTCTCTACAAAGACAGTGAAATCCTTTCTGGAAGATCAAGTTCTCTGTCCGTATTCACCCAGAGGATGTTGATGTGAACAAATGACAGTGCAGGGTTTTTGCTGTATTCACAATCTTGCAAAAAGCAGTACTGGGGTGAACAGTGTTGTAGGTATGACATTGCAAGGATTTGAGCAAGGTGTGGTTTGTAGGGAGAGAACAGAAATTGCATCACACAAGCTGGCTAAACTAGAAGAGAACCTTAGACTGAAAAATAAACTGAAAGCTTATCAGTTTTCTTCCAAATTCATCAGCTGGTGTAATAAGGGAATGCAATTTGTTCCCTTGTTCCCTTGAGATTTCTGAAGTGGACTTTCCCCAAAGGGTTATTGATAAGGCCTGACCCACACAGTTGCAAAGGTTTCTCTGATTAATCAAAAACAGTCTTACTAATTAAGAAAGTCACTGTAAATCATTAATATTATATTCATAAAATAATCCTAGAATTTAATTTAGCTGTTTAAATTTTACTTTGTTTTGAGGGAGACATCTTCCCAGACAGTATCCAGTTTGAGCTCATTATATTGTCCAGGGATCCCCTGCAGCTGTATGGCTTCTTACTCCAGCGATGTGTCTTTAGCAAACTTTTCAGAATTTTTTGTATTTTTAATGTAATACCTGAAAAAAAAAACAAAAAACCACCAAAAAACATTTTACTCTGGGATGATTCTTTTCCTTTTCTTTATTCCAGGATTCAGTAGACTTTCTGTCTCTCAACCTTCAGTACCAGTGTGGAAATGAAACAGATTTCTACAAGAAATTAGATGAATTCCAGGTAACATTTTGCACAGGGTTAAAATGAGAGCAGCAGACAACAAACCATAAATAGAAGTGGAATTTCATTTTCCTTGATACATGTCTGAACAGTCCTGATTTTCTGGGAGAACTCAGACAGCAACTACACTGGGAAGCAGCTGCATGGTGCTCACTTGCTTCTCTGTTATTCTGACTTAAAAACATGTGTTGGAAAGTGCTGGAAAGGATCATCTTGGTCTTATTGATGCATTTATGACCAGAATGCCAGAATTCTTCTGTCCAGGGTTGAAAACCTGCATTCTTAAATTCCATAAAACAAGAGTTATCCAGTATCTGGGGAGCAAAATAAGGAGCTGCCCATGTAGAATGCAAAAACTGCAATAGCATGTTTTTAGGAGCTGGCTGATGCTTCTTTTCATGCTAGTCCCTGACTTCTGGTTTTGCAGAGTGTCTGGAAGGACATAGAGATCTTGGTTTTTAGTCTGAAGTTCCTTGGTTGTGCTTCCATGGAAGAGAATCCTTTCATACCAGTAGCTGCCATTGTCATAGGTAAGTGGCATTTCAAGAAGGAGGAGAGTTTTTTAGCTAAGATCTGCATGATAAATTGTAGAGGAAATTCAAAATTGTCCAATTTAGGCTGCTGCTATTAGATGAAATAACTTTATGGTCTTTTGTAGCCTTCTTGGAAAATTAAGGATGGATGGTGAGTGTTAAGGGAGAGGAAGCAGGAAACTTCCCCCAAAGCTTTTTGTAATTTTCATCAGCCACAAGTTGTGACGTGAGAGGTTTAGTTTGGATACAAGGAAAAATTTCTTCACCAAAAGGGTTGTCAAGCCCTGGCACAGCTGCCCAGGGCAGTGGTGGAGTCACCATCCCTGGAGGGATTTGAAAGACGTGCAGATGTGGCACTTGGGGACGCTACAACACTGGTGGTGTTTGGCAGTGCTGGGTTAACAGCTGGACTCGATAATCTTAGAGAGCTCTTCCACCCTAAATGATTCAATGATTCTATGATAATTTTTTAACATGAACTTGTAAATACCTAATAAAGAACCCAATACATCTGCTCTGAGAAAAACAGCTCTTAGTTATGAGGAGCACCTTGTTCCTCCAGGAGTAACTGTCTGTACAGGCGGTGCCGTGCAGTCCATGGCTCCTGAGGTGGGACCGAGTCCTTCACTTACTGTTTGCTTGTTTTCAGCTCTTAATGAAGAAGGAACACGGACGATTGGATATGACATTAGTGAGTTCTTGGACGACTTGTCTCGTGTTTCAAGGTACAGTTTTTGATCTTTAAATCAGATAATAAAACGGTGTCTTCTAGAAACGCGTGAGCAGGCAGAGACAAGACAGTTGTAGTGGTAAAGGCTGTTGTCAGTGGCTGAAAGGGCTGGAAAGGGAGGCCCTTCTGCTGAGCCCAGTCTCTTGTGATTACAGGCAATCCTCTATCCTGCTACTAATCCCATAATGTAATCCTCTTCCACTCTCTCATCCTTAGTTACCCAAATTGCACCTTCAAGCCAATAGTGACAAGTACGTTTCCCAAGCCTTTTGCTCTTCTGCAAAATAGTTATAAATAAACAAATCCAATAGAGGCTTTCCTAGGGGAGAAGCCAACTGGACCTATGGAAATGTGAGAGATGTCAGTGTGCAGGGAGGTGCTGAGGATTACAGAAGCAGGATTGATTAGTTTTAGCTTATCCCGTGGAAACTCAATGAGAGCAGTTGTAGCATGTGCAATTTCTACACACTGCAATGATTTTGTTTGTATCTCTGGCCTGGCTGTAATGAATTATGAGAATCTGCCTGCAGATTAGATATCTGGCATGTGAGCTGCTCAGCAGTTACCTCACTGCCCTCCACCTGGGTGGCAGCAGCTTGGGTTGATCAGATGACAAAGGAACTGTATCCTAAAGTGGCTTATGTGACCTGAATGGGAAGCAAAAAAATTAGTTTAGTCTCCATGTTTGCAAGTTCTATGGCAGTGGTATTCACCTTGGAGATTTTAACTTCTTTTTATTCCATTTCCAGCCAAACAAATACTCTACAGGAGAACCCAGCTGCTGTTGTTGCCCCTCGCTCCTCCTACCAAACAGTTTGGGAAATGTTTGCTGGACAGTCTGAACTGGAGAGGGATTCTTTTCTGCAAGACGTTTTCCCAGATGGTTTCCTCTGGGGCACATCCACAGGTGCCTTTAGCATTGAAGGAGCTTGGGCAGAGGATGGGAAAGGGGAGAGCATCTGGGATCAGTTTGGGCATGCAGGCCATGTCCACCTGAACCAAACAGCAGACGTGGCATGTGACAGCTACTACAAAACCAGCTATGACATTTTCCTGCTCAGGGGTCTTCACCCCCAGCTGTACAAGTTTTCTGTGTCCTGGCCTAGGATTTTCCCTGCTGGCACCAATGAGACCATCAACTCCAAAGGTGTTGATTATTACAACCAGTTAATTGACCAGCTGTTGGACTCTCACATCGAGCCCATGGTGACTCTGTTCCACTGGGACCTCCCCCAGGCCCTGCAGGCCCTTGGGGGCTGGCAGAATGACAGTGTCATAGATGCTTTTGTGAGCTATGCAGACTTCTGCTTTTCCACTTTTGGGGATCGAGTCAAGCTCTGGATCACATTCCATGAGCCCTGGGTTATCAGCTACGCTGGCTACGGCACCGGGGAGCATCCCCCAGGAATCACTGACCCAGGAGTGGCATCTTACAAGGTAGGGACACGGGAATAACTAGGATCCTGCAGCTGCTTTTGTTGGGTTGTTTTCCTCTAATGTTCTGTACTTTACCTATGTTCAAGCCTAATGTGGCCTCTGAGACAACTATTTGCTTCTTGGATTTATGGTACCTGCAAAAAATGGGTTTGTTAACAGGGGCTAGATGTTCTTATTTTATTTTATTTTTCCATTCTGAAAGCTGGTGTTGAAGGATAGTCAGATTCTCCAGCTTATTCATTTTGTCAAGGCTTTTTCTTTTGGATGTAGAGGCCATTTTCACGTGGCAATAACCTGAAGGCTCGAGAGCTTTTGTGTGGTGCAGTGTGACATGTGCTGCTCTGCTTTCTGCTCCCAGGTGGCTCACACAATTCTCAAGGCTCATGCCAAGGTCTGGCACCTGTACAATGACAAATACCGCTCTCAGCAGCTGGGAAAGGTGGGGCTGGTGCTGAACTCGGACTGGGCTGAACCCAAGACTCCAGCCAGCTCCGAGGACGTGAGGGCATCTGAGAGGTACCTGCAGTTCATGCTGGGCTGGTTCGCCCACCCCATATTTGTCAATGGCGATTACCCAGAGATCCTGAAGGCTCAGATCCAGGCAGTGAACCAGCACTGCTCCACAACAGTGGCACAGCTGCCTGTGTTTACAGAGGAGGAGAAGTCCTGGGTGAAAGGGACTGCAGATTTTTTTGGCCTTTCCCACTACACTTCCCGCCTGGTCAGTGCCGGGGCTGACGGGACCTGCGCTCCAGGATACGAGAGCATTGGGAACTTCTCCTTGCATGTGGATCCTTCCTGGCCACAGGCTGCCTCTTCCTGGGTCCATGTGGTCCCCTGGGGGTTGAGAAGACTGCTGAAGTTTGTATCCCAGGAATACACAGGGACACAGATCCCAATATACATATCAGGGAATGGTATGCCCACGGGAGACACGGGGGATCTCATTAATGACACCCTGAGAGTGGATTATTTCCAACGGTACATCAACGAGGCCCTAAAAGGTATGGAGAAATCAAATTATTGTATTTCTTTTTAGTCATGATAACTGGCTATTTTAGCCCTTCCGTGGTGGTTGACTTCAAAACATCAAAGCAGAGTGATACAAGGTCAACTGCCTGTTGTGTAGTGAGTGTGACCTCATCTACTCCAACCTGTCTGGTGTCCAGGTATGGAGCTCTCCATCCTCTTTAGATATGGACATAGGTTTTCATAGATATGGATTGATGTAGTCTGGACCCTAAGATCAGTTCATATACTCCAGCTCCCCTGAAGATGATTTGCCTGCAGGATCTTGCCTGTAGAGATCTCACAGATCAGACCTGAACTGCCTGTACTAATTCATCAGATCTAACTGGCAGAATCCTGCACCATTTCAGGTTAGAAGCTTTAGAGAGATATTTATATCTTAATCATTTTTGGAAGGTTCCAGTTGGGCTTATGTCTTTGCAAGCTATGTATCTGTTGATGTAAAAATAATATTAGTGACTCAAGTTCTGGGCAGGAACAGAGATTTGAGGTTTCAAACAGAGATTTAACTGATTCTCTTGAGATATTCAAAACAATAGTGTCAGGAAAACATTATTAAATATGCTGTGTTAAATATGTTGGTGATCAGTGTACAGCATTTGATCTTCTTGACCTAGTTCTCAACATACAGCTAGGAGTGCTAAAAGAGCTCAGAAAACACAACTTAGCATTACTGTTGTGCCTCAGCTGCAGTAAAGGAGATGGACTGCACATGGGGAGCGAACTTTTCTGGAGAGAGACAGATGTAGTGCTTTTTTGTAGACAGTGTGAGGGAGGATGCTGGACTTGCCCCTGCTGGCATTGAATACACTGTTCTGCCTTAAGAAACTCTCCTGAGCTCAGGGAAGAAAGGCAAGCACTGAGTACATGCAATGTTTCTGTTTAACTATGGTGTCAAATCTAAAATGCACCATTACCTTAATTGATGAAATCTGCTTGAAAGCAAGAACACAGGGAAAGGGATACCAGTGGCACAAGTGTCCTGTACTCAAACATCTCTTGACTAATACTTCTTTCCTCACATGTTTTTGTCACTAAGCATTTGACCAGCTCCTGTTAGAGTGTTGACTGCTTTCCTTGCCTGATACTCATAATTGTTTGGGAGTTTTTTTTAGCCTAAAAACCCATTTGTAGGTGTTTGGCTTGTCACACCACCCTCAGTTGTGGTGCTTGTTGTGCTGAGCTGTGTTCAGAGAATGTTCAAGTGTGTAACAGTGTGTGGTGTTGTCTCTGTGGCAGCGGTGAAACACGACGCCGTCGATGTTCGGTCGTACATCGCTCGGTCCCTGGTTGATGGCTTTGAAGGCCCGCTGGGGTACAGCCTGAAGTTTGGGCTGCATCATGTGGACTTTGAAGACAGCAACAGAGCAAGGACTCCCAAGGCATCTGCTTATTTCTATTCCAGTGTTATTGAAAAGAATGGTTTTCCATCCGAAGCCTTGGGCAGATCTTCTGCGCCACTGGTGTTTGACCGACCTGCGCCACCAAAGTTGCCAAATTTACCAGCATCAGAAGTTCCCTCCAAGGCAAAGGTTGTCTGGGAGAAGTTTTCATCTCAGACTGCCTTTGAAAGAGACATGTACTTTCATGGGACATTCCCAGAGGGCTTTACCTGGGGTGTGTCTTCTTCTGCCTACCAGATCGAGGGAGGCTGGGATGCTGACGGCAAGGGGCCCAGCATTTGGGATACCTTCACCCATGTCCCAGGGAATGTAAAGAATAATGACACTGGAGATATTGCTTGTGATAGCTACCACAAGGTGGAGGAAGATATTTACCTGCTGAGAGCCTTGGGGGTAAAGAACTATCGTTTCTCCCTGTCCTGGCCTCGAATTTTCCCCACTGGAAGGAACAACTCAGTCAACAGCCATGGAGTTGACTACTATAACCGTCTCATTGACGGGCTGGTTGCAAACAACATCACTCCAATTGTCACTCTCTACCACTGGGACCTGCCCCAAGCTCTCCAGGACATCGGTGGCTGGGAAAACAACACCCTGATTGACCTGTTTGACAGCTTTGCAGACTTCTGTTTCCAGACCTTCGGGGACAGGGTGAAATTCTGGATCACGTTCAATGAGCCCTACGTCATTGCCTGGCTGGGCTATGGCCAGGGGACGTTCCCTCCCAATGTCCAAGACCCTGGCAGTGCTCCCTACAGGGTTGCCCACATCCTGCTGAAGGCCCACGCCAGGGCCTACCACACCTACGACGACAAGTACAGGGCCAGCCAGGGAGGGGTCATCGCCCTGTGCCTCTACATCCACTGGGCCGAGCCCAAGTCCCCCGGCGACCCCAGGGACGTGGAGGCCGCAGACAGGTACCTGCAGTTCATGGTGGGCTGGTTTGCACACCCCATTTTCAAAAACGGGGACTACCCGGAGGCGATGAAGTGGAAGGTTGGGAACAGGAGTGAGCTCCAGGGGCTGCCCTCGTCCCGCCTGCCGGCGTTCACGGCGGAGGAGCACGAGTACATCCGGGGCACGGCGGACGTGTTCTGCTTCAACACCTACACCTCCAAAATCATCACCCACTCCACAACCCGCCTGAATCCCTTCTCCTATGAGTATGACCAGGAAGTTTCAATCAGCGCTGACAGCTCCTGGCCTTACTCGGGTCTCGAAGGCCATCGGCCCGTGGCCTGGGGGCTCAGGAGGCTCCTGAACTGGATCAAAGAGGAGTATGGAAATCCCCCAATATACGTCATTGAGAACGGGGTGGCGATAAACACCACATCGGATGTGGATGACAATGCCAGGATATTTTACTACAAAACATACATTGACGAAGCTTTAAAAGGTACCAGTGTTTACTTTTGTTCTGTTGGGGTTTGTGTGTCTCCTCTCTAGATTTCTGGTTCCTTTATTCCTCTGAAGAGCCGTTTTTAAAAGTGATTAATATCAGTCTTCAAATATCCTGAGCACAATATAAACATGCTGTTTCTTTTTGTGAACTCCTCTGCATGGCTGCTTGTGCTTTGTGTCCTCCAACTGTGAAAAGTGTCTTAATGACCTTTATGAAGCTAAAAGCAAGTGAGTTCCTCAGGGTTCATTTAATGTGTGATTACGCCACTGATGCCCTTCCTTTTGTTTCTGGTCTTTCAGCTTCCAGGTTAGACGGTGTTAATCTGAAGGGATACAACGCTTGGTCCTTCATGGATAACTTTGAGTGGTCGGATGGTTATGACCCAAGGTTTGGATTGCTCCAGGTTGATTTCAACAACCCCAACAGGCCCAGGACCCCAAAGCGCTCGGCTGTGTACTACGCTGAAATCATCCGCAGTAATGGGATCCCACTGCCCAAAGAGGATGAGTTTTTGTATGGAGAGTTCCCAAAGAACTTCTCGTGGAGTGTAGCAACTGCAGCATACCAGGTCAGGAAACAGAGAGGGACTCTTGGAGTGTCTGTGGACAGTTAATTCAATTTGGATGAGACACCTACAGCTTTTGCAACATTGGGTTTTACTGTAATTAAACATTGGGGTTTACTGTAATTAAACATTGGGGTTTACTGTAATTAAGGGTTAGTGTAGCAACTGCTCTAGAAGGGAGGAACTTGGAAGTGTTGAAGGGTGTGGTTATACCACAGGAAATAGGACAACAGCATGGGCTTCATAAGATCCAGCCAACATGGAGCATTAGTGAACTGAAACACTGCCTGCTCTGGGACATTGTACTTTGCTAATGTGTCTTGCCTTGAGGCCCAAGGTACAGCAAAAACGTTGCTATTTCTAGTCTTAAGCTGATAAGCCAAAATATTGTGTGGCACCACGAACACTAACAGGCTGAATTCTTTGCTAGACCAAGACCTAAATTTAGGGTTTACTAACAATTTCCCCCCCATCTTCAATTAATTGCAGATTGAGGGAGGATGGAGAGCAGATGGGAAAGGACTGAGCATTTGGGACAAGTATTCTCACACTCCCCTGAGAATCAGCAACGATGACACCGGAGATGTAGCTTGTGACAGCTACCACAAGATTGAGGAGGATGTGGAAATGCTGAAAAGCCTCAAGGTGTCTCACTATCGGTTTTCCATCTCCTGGTCCCGTGTTCTCCCAGATGGGACCACCAGGTACATCAATGAAATGGGACTGAACTACTATGAAAGGCTCATTGATGCTCTGCTGGCAGCCAACATTAAGCCTCAGGTAACTAAAACTGGTGACTTTGAGGTAACTTAGAAACAGCAGAACCCAAGTCTGGTGCTCAGAGCAATGTGTGTATTCCCATCCACACCCTTCTTCACAGAGAAATTGGTTTTCATTGTTTTTCACTGCATTCTGCAAAGAAACATAGGGGTTTGCATAAAGGAATAAACTGGGAATATAGTGATATTTTTACCCAGAAAGATCATAGTAACCTTATTATTGGATGTTTCCAATCACCTTCTTGTCCCTCATCTCCTTGGAAGTAGAGTCCACAAGGACCTACACAGTGATCTTTCCAGACACTGAGGTGAGACTGACCAACCTGTATTTCCCCAGATCTTCCTTCTTGCCTTTCTTGGAGACAGGTGTAACATTATTCTTTTCTCAGGAGCCAGGAATCTCCACAGGGTCACATACAATGGACAGTGACCTCAGCACTGCATCATTCAGCTCTTTCAGCACTGGTTAGTGAATCTGACCTGACCCATAACCTTGTACCAGCCCAGACTGGTGCTCTGTTGGATTGTATTTCACCAGTGCAAGTGCAGCAGTTCTTCACTGAGGAGTTCTTGCTGTCACAAGGTGCTTTTTGGTAAAAGCTCCGTCTTCACCCTCAGGCAGTCCCTGGAGTTTGAGTCATTTCCCCACATCCTAAAGAAAACACTGAAACAGTGGCAAAAAGGTATTTTATTCGAGTGCATGAGTGAACACCACAAACTCCAATCACCATTAGGAACAGGTGGCCACAGATCAAAGCACAGTTTGTGTGTTCATAAATGAGTCTGGGTTACTGTCCTTATTTCCAGAAGTGAGAGTGACTGGTTGAATCCTTTGTCTTGCTGTCTTTCCCCACAGGTAACTCTGTATCACTGGGACCTCCCACAGGCCCTGCAGGACGTCGGTGGGTGGGAGAATGATACAATAATTCAGAGGTTTAAGGAATATGCTGAGCTCCTTTTCCAGAGACTGGGAGATAAAGTGAAATTTTGGATAACCCTCAATGAACCCTACAACACTGCTTATCTTGGCCATGGTGTTGGCACAGCTGCTCCAGGTAGGACTGCTGGGCACAACCTCAGAGCCCTGGCAGCACTGCGGGCACAGCTGGTTTGTGCTGCGGCACAGCAGATGTTTGGGGCTGGCAAAGGTAGGCCAAGGAAGGAGGTGTGGTGTGGATAGATGGGGTTTGGATTGCTGTGGGGCAGGTCCTTCTTTCACTCTGCCTCTCACCTCCAAGACCCATCCTCCTTCTCCCACTCCTCTAATCCAGCCCTCCTCTGCAGCCCCTGGATTGGACGTGCTGCCTGGAGCAGACCTCAGCTCCAGGGACCGATTTCAGCCCAGGGCTGAAACATTTGTGGACAGTTCTGAGTGTCCTGGGGATTGTGTTAAGCTGGGCAGCAGCCATGAGAAAGCTGGGAATTGCTGCTCCACTGGCTGTGCTGTCCCTGTCTCTGCAGGAATCTCCATCCGGCCGGGCCGAGCTCCCTACGTGGTGGGACACAACCTGATAAAGGCCCACGCCGAGGTCTGGCACCTCTACAACGAGACCTACAGGGCCAGACAGGGAGGGCTGATCTCCATCACCATCAGCTCTGACTGGGCAGAGCCACGGAACCCACACAAGCAGGAGGATGTCGAAGCCTCCAGACGGTTCATGCAGGTACAGAGACCCCTGGTCACAGCTCTCCTGCTGCTCCCGGGTCTGTTCATGGGGACAACCCCTCTCCCGGTGCTGGACATGCCCAGAACCTGAAAGAAAATGATGAGCCAGAGGCACCACTGCAAGGAAATGTATCACTCTCCTTTTGGGGCTGATAGAGTAGGCAACAGAAATGAGACAAAATACGGTTGCAGTGGCAAAAGCTTATTAAATTTACTGCCTTTATATGGGCATTGCTGGGCATCTCCATGTGCCTGTTTGTTATAAATTAAGGTATCACCTATAAAGCAGCTTGTGACAGAGATATGGTTAAATCCCTCGTTTTGATACATGATTTATCCTCCCTTATTTCCTGGTTTAGTTTTTACTAGGTTGGTTTGCCCATCCCATTTTCAAAAACGGTGATTACAATGAGGTGATGAAGAGAAGGATTCGGGAGCGCAGCCTGGCCCAGGGCCTGAGCCAGTCCCGGTAAGAGCCCAGGCACACACGCCTGCCCTTGTTTCACTTGCTGTGCTCAGACCTGCAGCTTTTCTGGGATAGAAGTGCTACATTTCAATGACTCTGTTGCAGTGTTACTGTGAACAACTCATTGTATCCTCACAGAAAACTTGTAGTGTACGTTTTCATAGAACCATAGAATAGTTTGGGTTGGAAGGGACCTTAAAGATTATCTAGTTCCACAGCAGGGGGAGTTGCCTGTTCCCTGTCTGTACCTCTCTTGCAAACTAAATTTACTAATATAACACAGCTTTGGGGTAATAAGTTGGCAGCTCAGTGATACAGTAAATGCCTGTATCACTGCATTAGACACATTACCTGACAACTCTGAAAAATTTGTTTTACCTTTTCTTGAAACTGTGTACTGAACTCTGGCACTGAGAACTCATTGGTCCCTCTGAATTACAGTTCTTATTTTCCATTCCCCATTCCTCCTGTTTTTTCCCATGTTCCTCCAGAAGGATCATGGTACTGGTCCCAGGGATACCAGCATTACACATGGAGTGTGTTCAGGGTGTGTTCTCTGTTTTCTCTTGCAGACTTCCAGAATTTACTGAAAGTGAAAAGCAAAGAATTAAAGGCACATATGACTACTTTGGTCTAAACCAATACACCACAGTATTAGCATACAATCTAAACTTTCCCAGGGTTGTTCAGTCATATGACTCTGACAGGTAAGAGATGAATTACTGGTCAAGTAAAATCTGCACACCTGGAGCCTGGGCCAACTGACGAGTGTAAATTGATAGCAAATAAATCTGTGAGATAGGTATTTTAAGCTGTTGTAACCAATACTTGGGAAAACAGCCCCAACCAGTACCAGTGGTGCTGTTATTTCCATGATAAACATGAATCTTTGAAACAGGAAAAGGAAAATGAGAGGATCTGTTAAAGGAAAGAATCTGGACTTGTGAGTTTCCCAGTGGTTTGGGATCAGTTGCAAAGAGTTTTTATCATATTTCCCGTCTCCAGTCTGCAGTTTGAACTGTGAGGTTATCCTGCTTAATGGATACTGTTCCATTGGATAAATGTGAGTTCAAAGGCTAAATAGCTAAATCACTTCATGGTTAGGTATATATAAGTAAAGATTTTTCATTAGATACTTGATTTCATTCCCCAGCTTCAAAAGGTAAAGGATAGGAGCTTATCAGTTTTCCTGATGGGAATTAAAGTAGTGGTGGGACTACACATGGGGGTGAAATTGTCTGCTTTCTGAAACCTTTCCACAGGGAATATATGAAATTGTTTTAACTTGCCTTTGCTGCTGCATCCCAGCCCCTGTGGTTTAGCCCCATAGGACATTGGGCTCAGTCTTGCATTCCTGTATGTGGGTATGAAGGGCAATTTTACGTGCTCAGGCACCGCATGATACATTGGAAAGTAGAATTGGTGTCATAGCGTACAAAGATTTGGAGCCAACATCACACCCTCAGCCATGGCTGATTTACACAGCAAAGCAGGAGAAGTGTTTTCTGTAAAAACCACTTGTGAGTGCTTTTTAGGGTTGTGGGCACCAGCCCCAGCTCAGCCCTGGGCGCTGAGGTGCCAGGAGCTGGGACTGGTCCTCCCCAGTGTCTCCTCTGCAGGGGTGTGGCCACGGTGAGCGACCGCAGCTGGCTGGGCTCCGGCTCTACCTGGCTGAAGGTGACACCCTTTGGATTCCGGAAGATCCTGAGGTGGATCAAGGAGGAGTACAACAACCCCCCCATTTATGTGACTGAGAATGGGATCTCGGAGAGGGGGGCCTTTGTGTTCAATGACACTCAGAGGGTGCATTACTACCGGAGCTACATCAACGAGGCACTGAAAGGTAGGAGTGGTGGTGGAAACCCCATCAGCCAGAGCTCTGGAGAGCTGGAGACTGGGGTGGATAAAGCAAGGGCTGAAACAGCACTGCCATCACACCTGTTACACACTCATATATAAGAGTTTACTGAATCCAATTCCAAGAGCCTTTGGGCTTACCAAGAACTGCCACGGAAGTCACAACTGTGCCAGGAAAGGGATCTAAGGGGAGAACAAACCCTGGGTTTAGCAGGGTAAGAGCAGGTTCCTTCATTAGGTGCCTCTCTAGCTAAACACTACTTTGGCTTCTAGTTTGACTACTGCTGTGTCTAAAAACTGCATTTAAAAAAAAAAAAAAAGGGTAAAAAAACCAACCCCCAAACTAGTTTCAGTTACAGCAGTGCTTGAGCAACTTCAGGAAAGGGCATTTTCAGTTTGCTTTTCTGACATACTGGGAACTGCCAGCCAGGTGTTCAGGAAGTGCTCATTTACTGTGGAACGAGGCCCAACAAACGCTTGTTTCACCAGCTGTTGCATTTTGATGGCTTTTCTTCTCTGTTCCCAAACCTTTGTTTCTCAGACAAAAGCTTTGATTTTTGGAGCAGAGAAAAGCAGTCTGTAGTCCTGGGCAGTGAATGAACTAGCCGGGCTGTAACTTGGCAGCTGAAGTAGCACAGAGCAACTGATCCGAGTCAACACGGGAGAGAGGTGGGAATGGGGAAAAAACCAAAAACCAAGGAGGTGGAGTGTCAGGTGTGGATGTTCTGGAGCATTTCATGCCGTGGCTGGCAAGGGGTGGCACACTGACCTGTTCTCTCTGGTCCTGCCCCAGCCGTGGTGCACGACGGCGTTGACCTACGGGGCTACACCGCGTGGAGCCTGATGGACAACTTCGAGTGGGCCGTGGGCTTTGATGAAAGGTTTGGGCTCTACCACGTGAACTTCTCAGACCCCGCCTTGCCACGGCGCCCCAAGGCCTCTGCCAGGTACTACTCGCAGATCATCAACTGCAATGGGTTTCCAGACCCAGCAACGGGCCAACATCCCTGTCTGGAACCAGAGCCAGAAGGTAAGCGGTGCAGCAGGAATTGTGTGCTTGCATCTGATTCCAGTTCCTAAAGTTCTCCATAATCTACAGTCTTTAGAGACAGTATTTTCTGCAGTATTCCCTCTAAGGGCTCTTATCATCATCAGTCCTTGTTATGACTGAAGACATCCATGTACAGTGATACCATTCCTGTGTGCAAAACCAGACTAATGCTGAAATCCTGTGCGAGAGCCCCTCAACACACACCTGTCTCCAACATGAAGCAAGAGAGTTATTCCATTAGACTTTTCTCTGACTAACAACTGCCCAGGATGTGGTTTTCCAAACCACACACATTCAGTACTCCCACATTTCTTCTAATCAGTTTTGAGTACTTTATACAAATCAGTGTTTTGGGTAAGCCTTTGGAAATACTGATCCTTTTGTGATGATTTATGTTCCCTGAACTAGAGGAGGGCAATCAACAGCACCCAGTGTTAGTGTGGGGGTCTGGGGATGACCGTGGAGGCCTGAGAAGCCTCACGTGTACTCAGGAATTGCACTATCAGCCTCCACTGTGCCTTCACTCTGAGCCAGAACTGTGTCAATCCCTGATCCCCAGAGCAGGGAACAGCACAGTGGAAAGCCGTGTGGAGGCAGGAAGCAGCAGTGCCCAAACCTGCACGGAACAGCTCCCCCAGGCTCTGTACTAACACTTCATTATTGTTTCCAGTGACACCACCAGACCCCACTCCAGGAGCAGCTGCCACTGTGAGCTTTTTGGGATTGGATTTGACATCCCAGAGTGCAGAAATTGCCCTGTACATGCTTTTTGCTCTTTCGGGAGTTGGAGCCTTGGCCTTGGCTCTTTTTGGATACAAATACGGAAAATCAGTCAAAAGATCCCATAAACAATCACACATGGAACTGAGAAGTAAAATGTAACATTTCCACTTGCTCAAGTGGTTTTTGGGTTTGGTTTTTCTTAAAAAAGAAGGTTCTACCATCAGGAGAAGAAACTTAGTGCTTGTTCTGCTGCAGCTTTGTGTCTTGCCTCAGAGATGGCTCCCCAGCATTGCGGTGTTTGCTTTTCCCAGCTTTAAAAGGGGGAGGAGAATTATTTTTCTCTGTTAACTGTCTTTTTTTCTCCATGGGCATCATTGGTTTGATTTCTTAAGGACCAAAGTGCTTGTTCCTACCTGCATGTGAGGTTTCTGAGTTTCAGCTGGAACCTGTTTGTGCTTCAGCATCTTCAGTGGATCTGAGGGGAGCCCCTCAAAGCTTTACTGCTTCTTAGTGTTTTTAAGACAAGTTAGTGCCTATACTGGTGAAAACTGGTCTAGACTGTACTCTTCTAGTGCAGCTACTGCACAGATTGGGGTTTTACCCCCCTTTTCCTTTATGTCATGTACAGCAAGGTCATTAAACTGGATCAAAACATTTCTCTGCTGTGTTTTGAGTTTCCTTGTTTCCCTGTGCCACAGGAACTTCAGAGGAACTTCACAAGACAGTGACGTTTTTCTGGAAAATAGTTTATTGAGTGCTTAGGGAATTAAAAACTACAAGGTTTTGCTTGCAGTTGCAGAAGCAAGAAAAAAGTTAAACATAAATTAGTTACCTGATTTGCTACTTATAGTGCTTCTGAAACCCTCATTTTAATCAGTCATTGTCTACCATGACCTTTATATTAATATATCTGGCCCTTAGATTCATATAGCAGAATATTTATAGATTAAAAAGTGCCTTTCTATGGCAGAGGGTAATAATTATGAAAGCTGATGGAGGTTTTCAGTTTTTTTACTTTTTTTGCTTCTAGGTCTCACCTATACTCACTTGATTTTTCTGACATAGGTGACTCCATTCCAGACTCCACCGCAGGAATAAGAATTAAGTAATTCAGTCAGTGTAAAATAAGCCCCACTTGTCCAGAACCTTTAGTTGACTTAGATCAAATAAGAGAAGAGAAGGAAAAAAAAAAAAAAAGCAGCCAGATAGTAACTGCAGTTACTCAAAACTACATTTGTTGTGTAGAATTTCCATTCCAAGTATTGTTTTCATCTTCTCCATCATCTTGAGTCCTCAGTCTGTATATTTTGCCTTCTTTTTTGAAGTCTTCCCCCCGCTTTTCCACGGCTCGTTTCCTGACTGCTTGTCTAGGGCACAAAGGACAGGGGTTTGAGTTTCCCCAGCGATAATTACACAAGGGAAGCAGCAGATGCAATAAACACAAATTGCACATCATTCCTTCTCTTATCCCCAGTCATAGTTTTCTTCAGCCCTTTGTGTCCTTGGGAAGCAATACCCAGGTGAAAATGTGTCACTTTGCAGTCGGACAAACTGACAGAATCTCATTTCCCTGTCACTGAGGAAGATGGGGCTGCTTTACCCACAACGGCCCAGCAGCTGTCCTGGTACAGGGGAGATCTCAGGCAGTACAAACCCAGTCAGAATCTGACTCCAGCTGCCCGAGTTTCTTGTACAACCACATCATAACCATTTGATGTCTCATTTTCAACACACTATCTGAAGTAAAAAGTATCATACTAAGTAACAAATATCATCCTAAGCTGAAGTGAAGCCACCTCTTACAGCTGAATTCCCCATTCATAAATGACTTTTAAAGACAGTGCTTTTTCTGGTCTGTAATTGGAAGTGCAGTTCCCCACTACGAGATTAAAGCAATTCCAGCAAGTAGCTTGAGAAACAGCTGCCTTGAGCACTTGTCTCACCTGCTCTGCTCGAGGCTGCTCGACGTTGAAGGGGCTGAATGGTCTTGCTGATGAGCTGCTCTCACCGTGGGCTGGGAGGGGGGTGGGCTCGTAAACAGAAAGTTGCTAATGAATCTCCAAACCGCTAAGAGGGGGTAAAGTATCGTGCCCAGGAACTTCCACAGGTCACTGCCTGAAGCCTGGACAACAGAAGTAGCAGGTCTTCCCGCCTGGTCAGGAACACACAAAGCACATTTGTCAGATACTGAAGTCATGCTCTTGTAGACAGAGTATTATACAGGTAATTTAGAAGCAGCTCAGCAGAGACACATTAGACACACAAACGTCAGTGCCACCATTCATCTGCTTCAGAAGAACTCCAAGTGAATCTTGACAAAAACAAAAGTAATTTGGCAATCTGTGTAGACACAAAAAAGCCCCAAATTCAAGCCAAATATGAGGGCTGACCCAGTTGCAGCAGTGCTGCCTGCAGGACAGTGAAACATGAACCAAGCCAACACCCACCGGCAGCAACACCACTGAAGCACTGGGTGCTAACTCCAGTTCCAGTAACTTCTTTCCATAATCTTCTTTGGTGAACTCCCTCCTGGGAAACATTGTCGCCAGTGAGAAATTGCCGTAAGTGTTACCAACCGTCTGGGAAAAACAGAAAGGAAACTCTTCATTTCTATTGTATTGGTAACTGTTCACTTTCAAACAACTGCTGATTTGCCATTGAGTATATCTTGTGTACCTTGCTAAGATTTCTTATCAAACTATCAATCATCTTCATAGTAGGATATGAGGGGATCCTTCACTCCTCCGTGTCTCTTACTGATGATACACAGCAGTGATACACAGCTGGCACTAGAAAGTGATGCTGCCAAAACGCCCTTCAAATACTCACCAAGGAGAGGAGCTGATGACAACTCCACCTCAGTCAACTAGTTGATGCTACACTGAGTTGTAATCAGCCTGTAGCTGAGAGAACAAACCCACAGTTTACCTGTGCAGCAAACTGCCTTGCTTCTTCCAGCCGTGCTTCCGATGGAAACTGGTTGGTGAAGGAAGATCCATCTGGGAGGCGGAACTGGATCCTGGCTATTGCACTGCAGGACATATGGGGGTCAGTCAGCACACAAACAGCTACAGACACACACTCCTGGGGCTTTAGCTTGGTTGGACTGAAATGTGGCAGAGAGGGACAGCCATCCTACTCCTGGCAGTGCAGATGGGTTGGATTCACAGTGGATAATCTCTTGCTTATCCCTCACCCTGCATCTCTTCCATAACTCCATGCACAGGCTCTGTAGGTCAGAATCATTCTTAAAACAGCAGCACTGGGCAAGGCAGGAGGCAGCTCTGACAAGGTCCCAGCCAAGCCTTGCTGAATCCCAGCCCACCATTCACAGCCCAGCAGCTGGATCAGCACCACTCCCCAGCAGTGCCACTGTCAGCCACTCTGTCCCCTCATTACCATTCACATCCTCACCTTATCTAGTCCCCCATCCAGCCCCATTACATTTGGTATTTAAATCAAAGATCAGGCAGAAAAAGCTCTTATCTAACCAAAATAACACACAAGGAAAGGTGGTGTTTCATAATCAGCCATGGCAAAAGGATAAAAGTTGTCAGAGAACATAATGTTCATGAAAATAGCTACGAATTAATGTGGGGAAAAAAGCCAACTTTTAATGTCACTGTTTAAACAGTTTAATACTGCAACATGTTGTCAATAGATTAGGATAGATATTAAATCTCTTGAAAGCTCTTTTCTTTACCTCTCTCCCCAGAAATATACCCTTGTTTCTCTACAGCAGCTCACCTTCTCTCCCTTTGAGCTGCTTCTTTCCTGGCCTCTAGTTCAGCCTGTTTGGCCTGAAGAGCTGCAGCTTTTGCAGCTTCTGCCTCTTCCTTGGATTTTGCAAAGCGAGCTGCTCTCTCAGCACGGTCCTGGCAGAAGGAGCAAAGAGAAACCTTAATTTTTGCTATAAGTTGTTGCTTAACATTCATTCAAACAACCAGCAACGATCTGGACTCGTGAATAGACAGAACTGCACAGACAGGAGCAGAGCATATGGAGAAAAGACAGTAGTGCTGCAAGGAATTATTCACTGCCAGGCTGCACAATCTTGTGTCATTAGCCACACTTCTCATGAGTCACTTCCCACTGCCAGTTGTTAATAGATGATCTTCCCATGCAAGTTTAATGCTCCAGGGAAGATAAAGGCAAAAATCTTATGCCAAGTTACACAATTGCAATTCTAAGTGTTCTGCAGCAAACCCTAATAATGAGGAAGAATTTCAGTTGTTACAATCTATTTGCATCCATCTATGCACACACATTTACACAAACTTAGAAAATAATTCTCCCCACCATTTTGAGACTGGTATTCTCGTGTGTGTTCTACAATTAAATATTCCCTGTGCTGCTCTTTCAGTACCATGCTTAAATGGCACTGATTTTTATGTTTAAATGATAATTCTCCACTAGGCTGAAGCAATTTGACAGAAAAGCTGGTACGTTTGTTCAGATAGAAAAGATCATCATGAATACAAAAGCAGAAGTTTCATTTTATACACAGGAAATGCCACATGAAACCCAAACACCAAAACCGTCGCAGGACTGCAAACAGAAAAATGAACAATCTCGCAGAGTTTCATCAAAGAAAATTTATCATTTCACTACACCAGTGGCCCTGTGAGAGAGAGGAGCAGAAGGTCTGCTCCCAAATGCCCGTGTACCATTGCAATCTGCTGCCTGATGCGCTCTCTGGCCGCCTTCTCCTCTGCCTTCTCTCTGTTCCTTTCCTCCAACATACGTTTGGTCATTTCTTCTTCCTGTCGTCTTTTGTACTCCAGCATTTCTTTGCCAGTTTTTCTCCTTTCAATTTCTTTCTTAATTTCTTTCTGAATAGAAAGATACAAAATTGGACCACAAAACTCCCTCGGACAAGAGAAAAGACTGAAGTACATCTGTTTCAGAAGGAGTTTATTCAAATAAGGGTATAAAATACCCTGCAAGGGGTTTTACATTTTTGTGTTACCTGTTCTTCTTCTTTCCTTTTCTCTTCCTGTCTCTCTTCAAGCCTTTTCGTTAATCTAAATTTAAGAATAAAGCGAGAAGCCTTACTGCAGTATTTTAAGATGCTAAGGAAGCATCTGCAAACAGAGATCAGAACACATGGAAATGAACTGTAGCCCAGTGCTGATACCCCTGTAAGAGTCACGATTCACTCACATGGGGTGCACCACCCACACAAAGACAGGTGGGGATTCACCACCTCCTTTCCGACTTTTAGTGGAATTACAACACATTCCCTTTGTCCTTTTCCCCTCAGGAAATGAAGAATCCCACATATTCTTGCTGTTGGACCAACTTATGAAGACGTACAATAAGCAATTACTGTTTAGGACCCGTGGTAACAAACACTAAGTCTCAGACTCTTTTTAGCTATTTAAAGCATCTGGTTTCTTCTGCACATCACTTCCTCAAATGGAACACGAGTAACGTAGCACTGACAGAGATGCACATGCCTCTGTCTCAGCTCTCCAGAAAGGTGCCTTAGAATAAGGAGTGACTTAAACCCCAGTAATTTGTCAATGCAGATTGACAATAAAAGCCCAACATAATTTTAGTCTGGGGAAAGGGCAGGCACAGCCAAACATGGTAAGTCAGATAGCCAGAAAAATCTTGTTTGTGTGGTACTGTTTTCTTAAAAAGAAAATGGTAGTT